AAAAAAAAAAAATTTCCCTGATTTTTTTTTTAATGAAAAGTAGCATCTACAAGATTGTGCCATGAAAGCAGTCCTCTTATCATAGAAAGGCAGTTTTTTTCAAAAACTTGAAATTTTGTAAGTAAGTTAGTGTGGAAGAATTCACTGCTATCATCAGAAAGCTTTTGATTACTCACTTTTATTCTTCCCATTTTCTGAGCTTCTTTGTGTTCATTTACGTTGGGAATGGGTCCCAGTGAATCATATTATTTTTAAAGGTATTGTGCGATTCCTACTGGTCAATTTTTCGAGCATTAAAGATTTTCTTTTTGTATCTGTAACAAGAAACTTGAATTGATTTCTTGGAATTATCTAGAGTATTTGTAAACTGATTTTGCTCTTTTCCTACCTGTTCTTAAAATAAATAGAGAGCATCTTGCTTGGTTTATATGGAAAGAAATGTTATTTGAATGCAACTTTTGCACAAAGTTTGTAACAGCAAAAACTCTTCTCATCCTGAATGAGGACAGATGTCATTTCATATAAAGCGGATCAGCAATCCTAGATTTAAGTACTTAGAACGGTATCTAGCATGTCTTTTAAGTGCTTTATGGGTGTTTTTACATTTTTTTTTTGTTTTTACATTTTTAATCATTAGAGTGTCAGTCTTTTGAGAGCAGAGATTTTGTTACTGAATTGGCGTATAAAAACATAATTGTAAATGCATATTGTCTAGAAATTCTGTTACTGATCCTGTTTTTCCTAAGAGTTTAACCTCTAGGCTAGCACCACAAATCAATACCATTTTATTGTCCTGTCCAGTAACACTGGAGGTCAGTTTGAAGATTAGGTATGCTGTGATTTTAACATAGTGGGGCTTGAAGTAGAGAAGGATTAATGGAAAAACCAAGCTCTCCTTTACTACAGGTTTTCATAGAATCCTAGTTCTAGAAAGACCTTGGTAATTTTCAGCTGACCCTCAAATCTTAGATGAGGCTCAGTAACCCTGTGACTCCTGAGTTCAAGTAATAATATGTGGTCTGATGGTGCATTTTAAAATCCTTTGTGAGTTCTAAAAGGATTTATGCTGTAGTCTTTGTTAAAGAGCTTGGGGCTGCTGGAACCTACAGCTCTCTTCCTGATCTGAAAAGCTTTGATTATGTGTCCCTTTCCTGATTTGGGGCAGGCTCCTTAATGCTCTAAAGCATTGAGTCCATCTGGTCAATATTAATTCCTGCTTGGCAGTAGCATATAATGGCATGCTTCTAGGAAAACTCAGATAGAGAGGCCCCAGACATGTTGTTAGCAAATACTGCTGATGAACCAACTAGTGCTGTTCTTTGCCCAGGTATAAAGGAATATTGGAGAGATTCCCCCATTTATGAAGCTGGAGAGGTGAGACTAGTCCCTTCCCTCTACAGGGCCTTTGCACATGCTAATCCTTTACCCAGACTGCTTTCTCCCCACCTTGGATATCCATTACATCTCAGCTCAGTATTACTTCCCTCTTGAGTCCCACACTAGATGACATTCTTATTGTATCTCTCTCTTTTTCCTTCATTGCATTTTAAGCTCTTTATGATTACCTCTTTATGTGCTTCTTTGATTCCACTGTAGACTGTAAGCTCCATGTAAGCAGGGGCCATATTGTTCATGTTCTTTATTGTGGCCTCCCAATATAGGTTAGTTTCTGGCAATGAAGAACTGCTTGAAAATAATGAATTTCCTGAATGTGACATTTGAAACTCTGTTTCTGAGCCGAAGCAAAGTGTTAATTAGCATGTACCTAGTTTCACATTACTCTTTTGATGCAGGGCAGGATATCTGTTCACATAATTAAAACGATTGATCATATTAAAATTTTAAAAGCTGGGAGTACAATGATTTGTTCTTTGAATCTTGTTAAAATTGTCCATGTCAAAATAGCCAAGTCGAAGTTGTCATATCAAAATTCATACTTGTATCCTCTTCCTGGCCTCTGGAAGATGACATTGTGACACAGTTGATTTTAGATTGATTTTATGTTTTCATTTGTGCCATCTCCTACTTGGACTGTAAGGTCCTGTGGGAATGCTGGCCTGCAGCCTCGGAGGTAACCCATCCTCATCTCCTTCTCCCCACTCCCTTTGTACTTCTGCCGTGTCCTGCTTCGGTCTGTGCACTTCCTAAAGTAGAATTCTGATAAAATGTATTGAATGACCAACAGAAAACAGACAGTAATCTGTATTAACTCGGAAACCACTTTCATACCACTAAGGGTGTTTGCTCCTTAGTTGCAAGAATTATTTGATTCTACTATTAAAAAAGAATTTGTGAGAGGCACCTGGAAAGTTGTTAAAACAATACAGAGCTCTGTATGTGTTTTGGGGCCAGGGTGGTGGTGGTGGTGGTGATTGGTGGTGGGTGATGAAGATGATGGGATCAGGTACTTTAATTCTCCAGAAACAAGCTGGTATTTTTATGTTGCTACCTAAGTTTTCAAGTAAGAATGGCTCAAAAAATATTTGGTGAACTAAAAGCATTTTTCATTAGATTAATTCCTAGGCCTTTCCCCTTTCACCGTATCATATGATATTTCACCATTAAAATGAGGCCAAGGACAGAACTGGTTGGGAGGAGGGTGATTCTAAAGGAAATGGAAATGGGAAGTAAAAGTGCATATCTTTGGGTGTCCTAAACTATTGTTCACAGCCTCAGGAGAGAGGTTGTTGACGGAAAAGGCACATGGTCCTCACTTACACTAGACAGGGTGCTCTATGCCAGGAAGCAGAAGTCCCTGGCTTCCTTTCTTGAAGCAGTGAAAATATCATCTTCTCAGATGCCTCTCTGTCCTCTCAGTGTCCTCATCAATTTTTTTTTCCTTCTTCCTCCCAAATGCTTTTTCCTGCCCACTTATGGTTTGGGCTGCTTCCTTAATAAAAGTGTCCTCTTATTTTCTGATGCAATTACCTCTGCAGCTGATTTATTTATTTATCCTTGTCTTTAGCCCAGCTCTAAACGGACTTTGGAAAGTAGAGAAGAAAATCCAGTCTGCTTTTTGGAGGACATTGGACAGCCGAATAAATGCAGGTATGTACATTTGCATATTTTTTTAAAAAGGCCAAAAGGAAAATATCTTTTAAAAAGAATAATGAAACTGATCTTGAACTTATCGGGCTACCTGCCCTTATATCCTTTACTTTTAAAATATCGGTATTTTTGTTCATTTCCAAAAGTTGAGTGGCTGGTTTAAAAATCCCAAGAGTATGAAAGTATAGGAAGTCCAAAGTAAAAGGTAAAGTTCCCTTATAGTCCTTCCTAGATATTCAGCACTTTAAGAGTTTATTGTATGTTTTTCCATATTATGCATGTGCATGACCAAAAGGATCATAATATGGATATTATGCCTTTTTTCACTTTGCAGTATGTCCTATATATCTTCCAGTGTGGGTTCATGTAGCTTTATGTCACCTTTTTTAACAGCTGCATAGTATTCTTCTGTCTTCATAGTTCTTGTTTTGTTTCGTCTCCTGTTGGACGTTGTCAGTTGTTTTTAAGTGGTGCCGCACCTTGTATATATATAATTATGTATACTTACCTGATTATTTTCTTAGGGTGAAAGGGTATAACACCATCTCTGAGTTCTTCCCGTGCCATGCCTGTATAGGATCTCAAGGACAAAGGTTTATCTTACATTGTAAAGCAGACTGCAGCTGCTTTGTTTTCCGTTTCTATTTTTCATTGTGGGGTGGAGTTGGGGGCTCAGTGTTGGGTTTGAAAACTTTCTTGCTTGATAGTTGATCTGAACCCTCAAGGTAAGTTATGAGCCTAGTCTTTCAGCCTGTGTTCTGGAAGATTCTGGTTTTCAGGTTTATATTGGAGATGAAACAAGTAAAATTGAGTGCCTCTCAGTTTGTAGCATTGAGGCATACCTGGTTCGTGTCTCTCCTTTTAAGTATCTTGTCCACCAGGGCAGCTGATAAACAAGCACATGAGTTTGGTGAAAAGACCTGTGGCTGTTGTCCACACTCTGTGACTTGTCTTGTTTGGAGGAGTTTCCTTGGGCCATTCTGCAAGCACCTATTAAATGTAAGGCTCTGTGCTAGGTACTGGGGATACAAAGATGAGTGACATGGTCCTTGCCCTTAAGGAACAGTGTATATGATTGAGAGAGACAGACATGTGCATAAGATGGTCATAATCCAGTGTGATTAGTGCAGCGAAGTGATCTTGGGAGAGGGCATCTAACTTAGGGGGATGGGGATGGAGATTCATAGATGCTTCTTGGAGGAGGTAATGTCCAAGCTGACTTATTAAGAAAATTGAAGTTTGCTGTGAAGAGGATGAGGTGGGAAGGTATTCCTGGTAGAGAAATCAGGATGACCAAAAGCAGGAAGGTGTGGAAAAACAAGATGGGGAGGGAGCTGGGGTGACAAGAACAATGAATGGCAGCTTTGTGGTTTTCAGGCATGAAGTCAGAGGCTAGGAATGATGAAAGATGAGGCTGGGGGGTAGCTGGCAGGTCATAGAGGACCTCTATGAGGAGTTTGAGATTGCGCTTGTAGATTAATGGGGAGCCTTTGGAGGATCTGATATATGTTACTGAGACATTACTTTGAGGGCTAAGTGAAGGTTGGCTTGGCAGGCAACAGGAAAGTAGGAACCTGGGTTCAGGGAAATTAGTTTGTATTAGCGATTAGTATCGAGTGAGGGGAAGAAAAAATGCGTCGGGCTTTCCCTTATTCCCCCTCCTTTCTGCCTTGTCTAAGGCTAATTTGCTGAAGCTGGCTCTTTGATCCTAGTTGCCCTCCCTTTAGAGGGAGCTCAGGTGAATGACTTATTTGCGAGTTTCTTACCAGCAAGTTCTGACCTCTTCAAAGCAAGGCTTCCAGCCCTCATTCTGCTGCCACAAAGTGCTGCCCATCCTCCTACCTGCCCTTGAAGTGACAGGGACTTGGTTCTGTTCATTAATTTTCGAGACCCTTCCATATGGCTCATGAACCCGAATCGGGAGTCCTTTTGCATGTACTTTCTCAGAGCCAGCCCTGGGCTAGGCTCTGGGGGCATGAAGATAGATAAGACATGGTTCATCACCTCACTGAGCTTGCAGGTTAGTGGGCGATAGACAAAGTTAAAAGATGATGTGATCTGTGCCGTCGGCCAATTCAAAAGTGAAATGATTCCAATAGAGGTAGCAGCATTGGTAACATTAACATCAGTGGTTCCAGAATGAGCCACATTTTTCAACTACCACTTGTGTACAGATAGAGAAAACAAATTTAGGCTGTGTCTAAAATTATTCTGATTTTTGAGAACATGGACTGATCATAATTAGAATGCATAATTGATTATGTTCGTAATTACAGTGGATGGTTTCACCTCTCATAAGTTCTGATGCATTCGATTTTCAGAGAGGGAAGGTGCAGGGAGAGGTACTTACCTGCTTGAGAGGTATTTCTGCCTGCTTACATTACCTTCCTAATATTCTCTTGTACCACTTGAACTTTTAGCACATAGAATGACCACATGGTCTGGTTTTCCTTCCATTACAGTATCTAAATATAAAAGAGGACTGCAGTGCCATGGCTTTCTGTGCTAAAATGAGGAGCTCCAAGAAGACCGAGGTGAATCTGGAGGCCCCCGAGCCAGGGGTGGAAGTGCTCTTCTATCTTGCTGATAGGGAGCCCCTCCGGCTGGGCAGCGGAGAGTATACGGCGGAGGAGCTGTGCATCAGGGCCGCACAGGAATGCTGTGAGTACGGGTGGCTGCCCAGGGCACATTTTTGGGGGGACACCGTCCCGCAAGCAGATCCTGGTGTCTCTGCCCCCAGGAGCCCCACTGACTGGAAAGAGGCGTGGGCTCCGTGAGGCAGGGGTTCTGCCCTGCCTCTGCCGCTTACTTGCATTTGACCTTAGGCCAGTGATTTTAATTCTGGCAGCTTCACTTTCTTCGTCCTAAAGTGGCTTGTTCCTGCTCTGTCACTCATGAGCTTGCGATACCGAGGAATGATGCTTGCCTTCTTTGGAGGCTCAGGTTTTATTTCCCCTACCTCTAGGAAATGGGAATAACATCAGCCCTAAATGAGTAAAAACAGCTGGTACAAAGTCACAAGCTCAGTAATCGCATCTCTCAATATCTGAATGATTATTCAAAACTTCTTCTGAAAAGTATGATTCATGCTTCTGCCACTATAATCTGCTCCCCCCTCATGATGCTGACTTGAAGTGAGAAGTTGTCACTTTGTGGCTCGGTCAGAATGCCAGGCTGTAAAAAGGGCAGTGAGGCTGTGAACAATATGGTCCTTTTTTTTTTTCCCCCTTTTTTTTATTCCCCCTGTTGCCCTCGGAAGGTGAGAAACCGAACTGAATAACAAAATGCCCCCTTTGTTATCCTTTGAACTTGGGATCAGTGACAGTTTTTGTCTACCTACTTTGTATATGACTAGTAAAGTCAAATCATAGAAACTTAAATGAAGATCTGATCCACTGGGATTGTGGTAATGGTTGTGTAACTGTAAATATACTAAAATTCACTGAATTTTACACTTAAAATGGGTAGGCTTTATGATATGTAAATTATATCTTAAAAAGCTGTTTTTAAAAAAAAAAAACTCACCTCATTTTATGATGATGATATGACCAGCGATAATGGCAGACGGTCTGATCCATGCTTCCTTTATATCAACTATGTTGGGGTAGTATAGACATTTCAAGAAATACCTACCTAGTTTGTGATACAGCTTGTCTAGAAACCCATTTTTCTTTCTGATATATATCTCTCTGCCTCAGACACTTTAAAAACCAGAGTTCCAATAAAAGGGGAGAGGTTGGTGCTGCAGGGAAGAGTGTAGTAGGCCCTTAACTAACTAAACACGACACTAGATAAAATGGGCTTAGCTATGGAGATTATGAGGGGGGAAATGTGTTAATCTTTTAAAGTTATTTTGATTAGATAGCAAAGTATATAAGGAACCAGCTTTAGACGACAGCTTTGAAAGTATTTGTAATTAGCAGAACAACTAGATGTAAAGTGGTGCTTCTAATGTATTTTTTTTTTTAGGTGTTGTGTTTTTTTCTCCTTTCCCTTGAGGTTTGGTTTGTAGTGTTTATTCTGTTAGGCCAGCCGTGGTGTTTGAACGGAATTGCTGGACTCAGTTAATAAGAGAGCAAGGGACCGCTGCTAGAGGAGACGAGGGGAGAGAGCCTGAGTCCGCAGGCAGATGCAGCCACTGAGTCTGCTGTAGCTCTGGGCTCAGGGCCAGTCAGCGTGGGGCACCAGCTTCGAAGCCCAGTCTGGAGAGAATGAGTGGGCTCTTTGATAACGGACTCAGGGGAATGTTGCCAACATTTATTAATTTTAAAGGTATATGAGTACAGAATGCCACATATTCTTATAGCTCTCGTTATTATTACAGTAAGTGGTATTTGGAGGCAGTATTGTTTTCTTTCCTGTTGTCCACTGAATATATGGTCAGTTTTTGTTCTTTCAGCTCTCATTATTTTACTTCCTCAGTAGCTCTGTCTTGGTTTGAATCTTAACTCTGCATTTTATTAGCCAAGTAGCCTTGAATCAGGCTAAATCTCGGGAGGCCACAGTTTCTTCACCTGTAAAATGGCAGGAACATTAATTACCTCATTAAGTGTTAGGAGGATTAAAAGATAATCAATGTAGAGTGTGTTAGCCTGATGCCTGACACTTAACCCTCAGTAAATGTTAAAAGTGTTGTTGTTACCATTATTCAGTACTTTTTTGTATAAAAAGCTATCTTTGATCTTCCTGTTTATAAGTATGAATATTATTAGAGCCAGACCTGTGGTAGGATACAAATTGATGATTACAAATAAATTATGCTTCAATATGTACGTATCAGTGGCACATTCAAATCTGTGTACATATGAAGAGAGGCTGGGTTTCCAGGCCAGTCCAGAAAGGCCGATTCATGAATGAAAAACTATAGTATACCTAAAACATAGTCTTGACAATACTGGATCTAAAACTCATTTGCTTTTGTTCCCAAGGAAGAATGCTCTTTGAAGTTTACCCCCATCTTCTCTGTTATAAGGGGGAGTGACTTCTGAGGGGTTCGTCCAGATACCTTGAGAGGAAAGAATTGAGGACTTCCAGCGAGAGGGCATCAGGATGCCAAGGCATCTGTCGCATCTTCACGCAGTGTGTGCACTGGAAAGAGTCTAAACAGACAGGCGGGCCGGCGAGGGTCCCTGTCAGTGTCAGTCTCGTTTCAGAGGTCTGATTTGGGAAATGCTGATTACCTTATATTTCCATATATTTTTCGGTTAAATTGACTGTATCTTAGCTTGAGGCCTGGCCATGCATAGAAATATCAGTCATAATGGATTATGTGCAGTCACCTTCTTTCCTTCCTCCCATGCTTTTAGATTGTAGGTCTGTGTAATTTTAATCACGGGCTCAGAAGTAAGTGGAAAGGCGCTTTCCTGGCTTCATAGTCTCCTTTATCTTTCTAATCATTCTTCTATCAAAGGAGGCAGTTGGTGGGGGGAGAGGCAAGGGAGCACTATTGGACCACTTTTGTTAAGCAGATATCTTCTTGTTAGTTGGCTACTAATAAAAAATATTTATGATAACTATACAGAGTACTTAAGAAGTGTATTTATTATTAATGGTGATAGATTTTTATAACTGACAAAAATCACTTTGGTTATTTATTCTAACACATGATTTCGTGTGCTACTGCCAGGAACTTCTTTGCATGTTTAATGCATAATCAGAGTGTGTTAGAATTGTTAAAACATTTCTGTAGGAGACAGATTGGGGATTTCCCAAATTCCAAGAATGTTTCTGGGATTAGCAAGGTGCACATCAGGTGGGCTCTGGGAACCTGTGGGCTGGCATATTTTTTCTTTTAGGCAGAATTTGTTAAGACTGTCATAGACACTGTGATGAGGAATATCATTAGACTTTTATTTTAAAATAGGTTTAATCTGGTTTGCCAGGAGCTACAGTACATATTCCTGGGGAGCCATGGTTCTTAATTATCATGATTAAAAGTGCCTGATTGAACATGGTTGGAAGTCAGATTTGCCCTAAGAGGATAAAAATGTGACCTAGATTCTTGAGATAAGAGAATTTCTTGTCTTTGCTTATGTTGTGCTTTGGGAACAGATGGCCTAATGTATCTATCTTTAATTTTCAGATATGTTCTTTACTTTTCCCCCAGGTATCTCTCCTCTGTGTCACAACCTCTTTGCCCTGTATGATGAGAACACCAAGCTCTGGTATGCCCCGAATCGCACCATCACTGTTGATGACAAGACATCACTCCGGCTCCACTACCGGATGAGGTATGGGTGCCTGCCTGGCTTCCTCTTGCAGGGGTATGACAGTTAGCCTGGTGCCCTGAGTCACTTACTAAGAAGATTTGTAGTCATTTTGTTATTGGTAAGTTTTGTATTTGCTTGGTATGAGAAAGGACTTTTTCAGTATTTGAAATACAATTCAAGATGAATCTGATCACCTTCTGCCACATTTTAGAAAAGACATTGTTATGATGCAGAGCGTATTTTGAATAGAATTAGTATCCTACAGCAGAGTTTTTCAAGCAGTGAGTCATGGTTATGAATTTAATGAGTTGTGACCAGAATTTGTTTAAAAAAAAAAAAAACAGGCGAGAATAGGTAATATCAGGATATATCAGGATATGTATACACATATCCTAAGAATATTGTTTTTTCACCACTTGTCTTTGAGATATGCAAGTGTATGTACCAGGTCATGATACAATGAACTATTTCTTCATAAAAGTTCCAGCTAAAAAGTTTGAGAAACACTGCTTGAAGTGGTTCCCTAGAAATTCTAGGTTGGTCTCGCTCTCAAGGGGTAGATGTTGTGATCCACTCCCTGAAGATTTTTGTCTAGTGAGTGGGACTCTTAATTTTTCTTCTGATGGGTCCTTGCCTCTTCTTCTATATTGTAGACTTTCTTAAATGTCACATAGTCTCCCAAGGTGGCATAGACATTCAGTATTTCACTGTAGGCTCTTGAGTTTATAAGCCCATTTGCTCTGTACCCAGAATTGAAAATAGGTCTGTTAGATGCTAGTTAAGCACGAGTGAATGTGTAGTTAGCCAAAGACCTTATAAACAGGGTGAATACTTTTTGAAAAGCATCTTAATTTACATAGATGAGATGAAATCAGTAGATTTGCTCAGGTGCTAACGGAATGTAGAGACCCGCTGGAAAAGCCCTCGGGGATCTCAGAGGCTCTGCCCAGTATCTTAGCGGCTGTTTCCTTTGGGAAGTCGGTAGAGTTGTTAATATTCCAGAATGGCCTGGATGCTTTTCTCAGTGGCAGTTGAACCAGATCTCTCTTTGATAATCATCCTAGGACTGACTTTTTTTTCTTCTTTCTGTACTCACCCAAGGTCTCACCTTAAGGGGAGAGGTGTGTAGCATGTGAGATTTCACACCCCAGATTTAGGGAAACATTCACCCCACCCAGCTGAGCCTTCAGACTATATTTGGATTTGTTTTTCAAAGTGTAATCTTGCTTTCTGTGGCCTGGGGCTTGGCTCTGTGATCCAACATTGAAATGTGGAAGTCTAGGAAGGGGGCATTTCACTGTAGGTCTCTCCACTTGGCTCAGAATCTGGAATGGTAGAATTGGGGGCTTGGATGAGATCTGAGTTTACCTAATTCAACTATTGCAATTGTTCAGGGGGGGATTCTGATGTCCCAAATGGAGAAGTGAATTACCCAGAGTCACATACCTAGTGAATCCTCTTGTCAGCCCCAGAGCCCTCTTTGAGACTGGTCTTTGTTGACTGTGTGAGTCCCTCGCTTACCATTAAAAGCTGTCTTTGCCTCCTCCCTGTTCTGTTAGCTGCCAGGAAGTGCTGGGCTACTTCGTTTTTTTGGCACCTTGACTTTGTACTTGACATTGCGCTTCAACAGGATATTGCTTTGTTACCACAGGCTCTTTGAACTTGGAAAGAAAAGATCCCACCCTAAGCTAAAACATTTGCATTACAACAAACTACAAAAACTTTGAAACCTTATAATCTCACCACTAAAGAAGGTGTAATATGAAAACAAATATTAGTGACTATTTCAGTGGAATCCCAGCTCTATTTTGGGAAATACTCTGTGCTTCGATTTTAATTTTCTGTTTTTAGATAATGCTTTTAATAGTTGGTTTTTAATAATATATCTTAATATAAGATAAGCCTATGTTTTATTCCTTTTTAAGAAAAAAAATTTTCTTTTTCATTCAAATGAATTTCACTGTCCACTAGTAAAGTTCTGTAGAAACCTAAGGAGAATTTGTTATGTATAATATCTATATGTAAACTCAGAATATGCAGTCATCTGTAATACAGTTTTCTCAGAAACTTGCAAGGAAGGCATATCTCCTTGACAGGTCTGTCTGTTTATCTGTCTCTCCCTCCCTCTTCCTTCCTGTGTCGTCCCTCCCCGCCATTCTGAAAAGGAATCTACACAGCTGTTATACTACGTGTATTTATGCCATTCTTTATTTTTTTCCTTAGCATGTTCTAATACTAGGAATTTGTGTGTGGCCCAAGTTTGATGAACATCTTGATAATTAATTTTAAAAAGGAGTGTAGAGCATCTTTTCATGTGTCTGTTGGCTGTCTTTATGTCTAAATGTTGATTCATGTCTTCTGCCCAGTTTTTAATTGGATTATTTGTTATGTGGTTTTAAGTTGTAGAAGTTCTTTATTATGGATATCAGTCCCTTATTGGATATGTCATTTGCAATTATCTTCTCCCATTTGGTAGGTTGTCTTTTTGTTTTGTTCATGGTTTTCCTTGCCTGTGCAAAAGCTTTTGGTTTTGGTGTCGTCTCAATAGCTCAATGTGTTTTTGTTTCCCTTGCCTCAGGGGACCTATCTAGAAAAAACGTTCCCGCAGCTGGTGTCAAAGAGGTGACTGCCTGTGTTTTCTTCTAGGAATGTTACAGAATTGTTGAATCATTATATTGTACACCTGAAACTAATAGAACACTGTATGTTAATTACATTCGAATTTAAAACAAAGTGTAGAGTTTCTGACTTCAAGGTACCTTCTAGTTTTGTTTTACTAGGACAAAATTAAGAAGGTGTTGATTTTGGTAGTTACTGATTTAAAGGTTTTTGTTTTTTGTTTCGTCATCTTATTACATAGAAAGCGGTCGTCCTTTAACCATGGGCCATTTCTAGAGACCCAGCCTTGTTTTAGGCTCCCCTCAGCTGTTTCTGAAGTAGCGAAGTGGCACATAAGTTTGATTCCCTCAGCCTCATCCTGTCCGAACATCTTGCCAAAAGATTTTCAAATCAAAACTGGTCCCACAGGGCTCAGATAACAGCCTCGAAGAGTGTGTTTGTTCAGACCCGACTGAAGATCGTGTTCTGCCCAAAGAGGGTATGTTGGGCCATTGGCTTTACCAGGTCCGAGGACTCTTTCTCATAGAGACTGAGCGGGATGTGGCAGAAGAGGACCATGCCTTGGACTGGTTCAGGGAAAAGTTGTCTTCAGTGCTTCTCTTTCAAACAACCTCCATCCTGGAGATCCTTTTACCCCTTTTCCCAGATGCATTTCCACATTGCATATACTTCCCATCACCACTGTCCTCCACTGCCGAACAGAATTTACCTGTCTGCATGCCTTTCTGTGAGAGCCCTGCTCTGAATGTTCATGTACAAAGTGCCTGGCACAGGGTCAATGTTCAGAATCTCTTAGCTGCTGTCTTCATTGGCTTGTTTAGACCCTTTCACCTGTCTTCTTCCACGCAGACCCCTAGAACTTCTAGTAGATGTCTGCTTACTGTGTGAATGACAAAAACTCTCTGTTTTGGACTTGACTTGGTAGCCAGAGGAGTTGGCTGTGTCCTCATGGATTTTTTTTCTGCCCCAGTGTCAGCTTTTCCTGTATTTGCTCAGTTGGTAGGACCAGTTCACCTCTTATTTTCTGCCTGCACGGGATCGCTGATCTTGGTTGAGTCCTCTGTCCTGTGCTCTGTGCTGCCCTTGAAGAGTAGACTCCTCAGTCTGGCCATAGCATAAATGCCAGCCTCTTCATCAGCTGATAGCCTCAGGCTTCTGCCATTACCGGGGCCTGCTCCCCTCTCACATAGAAGGGTTAGAGGACAATCCCACAGCTGTGGTTCATGCTGCACACGGGCTCCATGGATATGTGGTTCTTTGTGTGTGTGAGTGAGAGACACCAAAGCCCACTGTCAGATTCTCACTTTCATAAATTATAGGGAAGATGGACTGCATAGAATCCATGAAAGTTTTAAAATGTTAATTTTACTCTTATAGTAACTTCTTTATCCATCCTTCCCTTTCTATGTTAATTGCGTCTCCTCAAACTTGTTCGTTCATTTGTTGGTTATTCATCCAAAAATCATGTATTAAGCATCTGTTATATGCTAGGGGACTCCTTGCTGAGCAAGACAGCTGAGGCCTCTGCCCCCACAGAGCTCACAGCATTGTCCAGACTATTGTCATAGGCATCTTCTTGTCTTTCAGCCTCTCTCATTTCAGCCTCTCTCATCTCCCATGGGGCTTTCTTCTGGGGGATCTGCCTCACATGAGCCAGCCTCGCTGTCTCCTCAGCCAGCGGTGTATGGTCCTGGCTCTAAAGCCTGGCATTTCTTTATTCCAGTCCCAGCTTCTCTTCCCAACCCTTTCCCCCTTCCCTGCCACCTCCCCGGGCAGTGGAGGGCGGTTTCTCCCTCCTTTGGCACCTCATCAAAGACTCTCTTCTGTCTAGGGACAACTTATCTATTAGGCACAGTGCCTAGGGCTCATAATATTATTAAGGACTCACAAAAGTGCTTTAATTTCTTTTAAAATCAGAGAAAAAATGAATATAATCCAGCCTGGATTGTATTAATCTTTATATCAACACAGATGTGAAATATAACTTTAATATTTTTTTTATGAAGGAAGGAAAAACTGTGGGCTCCATGAAAGTCGCAGTGTCGTCGTACTTATGAGACGTGCCCCTTGTATGTTACTTTATTGCTATTGTTGGATTTGACCGATTGCCATATACACATATAGATAAGGAACCCCAGAGCACTAGGGACTATGCCCTTTGAATCCCAGCCTGGCACAGGGCCTGGCGTGTGTAGGCTTTGCAAATACAGCTCAGTGACAGATGTCTGAGTTTAGTGGTAGCACTTTTTTGGGAGGAAATTTTATTTGTTGCTTCTTCATGCCATAGTTGTTTTTTTGTCAGCACATGGGCATGTCAAAGGAGAAAGACCCAGGTACCAGCTGAGTCTATGGCCTAGAGATGGGCTGGACCAGCTTGGCTCGGTCACTTTCACACATCCCAGAACTCACTATATTTCTCTTACAGGTGGCAGAGGCAACTAGTAGTTAAGAGAGCAGGCTTGTGGTCAGGTCACCTAGCCTCTTGGAACCTCAGTTTTCCTTGTCTATAAAATAGAAACAGCGGAACCTACCTTGTGCAGTTGCTGTAGGGATGAAATGGCATAAAGTGCTTATTAATTTCACACCCCTGGAAGCTGATGCTTGTAGCAGTGCTCATATATTTCTTCTACTTTAACTCTGTTCATTATAAGATAAACTATCAATTTAATAACAGTCGTCTGGGAAATAGGAAACACTGCCATATTAACTGTATATCTTGATTATACAAGGAAACTAAAAATTGAACAGAAATGTTGGAATGTGCATAAAATAGGTCTTGGATTCCAGGCAGGATGGCATTATTAGAGGTGAAGGGAGTGGCTGGGCCAGCTCTGGTTCTAGTCAGCTGTATTCTCCTATTTAGGAAGATGTAGTGGAAAGTCTCTTTATCTCCCTGAGTCATAGACAGGTTCTGGCAGGACACTCTTCACAGAGTGCTTATAAGAGTGAAAAGAAAAAAGGACTTTTTAACTAATGAAGTGCTCCACAGCTGAAAGGTCGGTCTGTCTGCTTGCTTTTCGGGCAAGTTTAGCCTCCAGCACTGAGCACTCTGGGTACAAGCAGGACACCTCTCCCACGTGTTCCGAGGTCCCCTTTCCCAAAACTGACATTTATTTTCGTTCCTTCCAGATTCTATTTCACCAACTGGCATGGGACCAATGATAATGAGCAGTCTGTATGGCGACATTCTCCAAAGAAGCAGAAAAATGGCTATGAGAAAAAAAAAGTCCCAGATGCAACCCCTCTCCTTGACGCCAGCTCTCTGGAATATCTGTTTGCTCAGGTGAGAAGTTTGGGCCCAGGAGAACCTGGAGTTCCCGGGATGGGTGAGGCATTACAGGGTTCAGATTCCCTTGGGCAGCTGAACTTGTTGGTAGCTAGGGTGTTTGTTGGCCTGCTCTGTGGGCAGTCCTTGCCACCCTTGGACTTGCCTGAGATGAGAACGAGAAAGGCAGCAATTCAGTGTTCCAGGGGGCTGGTTGTCCCACTTGTGGGTTTTTGAGGCTTTAGTTCTTCCCTGTTCCTCTCCCCCACCCCATCTCCTGTCATTTTACTTCTCATCTGCAGTGCCTCCTGTGGAAGAGCAGAGGGAAGCTGCAAGTGAGGGAGGGTGTAGTTCAGTGGGGTGAATGGGGACATCTCAGCAGTCAGAGTAACGTTCGGGGAGGAAGGAGGTGGCTGCTCTGAGTCACAGCAGTAGTAGGGTAGGAAGATTAGATGCTAGGCAAAAGCCAGAAGAGAAGTTAGAGTCACCTAAATTATATTACCCTGAGATAACCAACATTTTTGGTGCTATGCTTCCTGATTTTGCCATGCAGGTATATATTATGTACTGGGTAGTTTTTAGAAAATACCGGGTCATTTTATAAACTTTTTATCTATCCTATTGATGATATTTCAGATGTCAATTAAAAATATAGCTCTTTGTTTTAATGGCTTCATAATAATTCACTCATTCAACAAATATTTACTACTGAGCATCTCTGTACTCTTTGCTGTGATGCTACAGGTGCTGTGGTGAACAAGACAGACAGGGTCTCTGCCAGCATCAGATACAAAATCAAGTTGGACAAACAGAAAACAAATAAGCAAATAAAATGATACATAGGAAATACATAAGAATTGTGAGACGTGCCATGAAGGAAAAGGCTTTTGTGATAGGGAATGTGGGGAGAGGGTTGGATTGGGAAGATCTAAATATCAGAGGAGGTCTCTAAGGAGGTGACACTTGTACTGAATCTGGAAGAACAAGGAGTCTGCAGTTCTGAGGAAGGAGTAGGGAAAGTATTTCTGCTCTGTAGTGCACAGTTTTCCAGCAGCAGCACTGTTGACATTTTTTTGCTCTGAGGGACTGCCCTATGCATTGTAGGATATTTACCCACACCCCTCGCCTCCATTCATTAGATGCCATCCCCCCAGTTGTGACAATCAAAAATGTCTCCAGATGCTGCCAGGTAGCCCCTGCAGGGCAAAATCTCCCTGGATGAAAATGTCTGATGGGGAGGGAACAGAATGTGGGAAGGCTCTGAGGCAGGCAGGAGCTGAGAGGAGAGTCAGTGTGGCTGAAGGAGAGGAGGGTGATAAGGAGTGAGACTGGGAAGGCCGACGAGGAGCAGGTCATGTGCTTTGGTCCCGGTGAGGCAAGATGCTGGTTTGGCCTAGTGAAGTGGCAGGAGAGTTGGAGAAAAATGGGTGGATCTACAATTAATTCTGGAGATAGAATTGATAGGACTTGCTAATGGGTTGGCTGTGGAAAGGGAGAGAATCTGAAGTATCAAAGATGATTTTGGGCAATGTTTGATAGATAATGGAGTCCTTCCCTACATTGGGAAGGCAGAGAACAGCAGGTTGGAGAAGAGGTGGGAATTAGGCGTTCTCTTTTGGAGATGCCTGTGGAGATTTCAGGTAGGAAGTGAGTATGAGGCTGTAATCCAAAGCGAAAGCCCTCATTTATTTAACTCCTCTCCTCTTTGTGGACATTTTTGGTTTTTCTTAAGTTTTCCCTATTATGCTATCACCGTTATAGTAACAGGTTGTCGTGGGCAACCTCCACGTGTATTTATGTGTGTATTGTATTATTTCGTTAAGCTATACTTTCACATGTGATTTTTATGTCCCAGTTATATTCCATTGTACAGCTTTAGTTTCTGGCTGCGTTTGATGCCCATTCCGTACATACCTGAGGATTGGCCTTAGAGACAACAGAAATGTACAGCCTGGGCAGATAGTGTGTGGAAAAAATTAAACAAACTGGCCATTTTCAGATGGAGCATCTTTTGTTCAACCTCCCAGTTTCATATTTTCAAAGGGAAGAGCGTGCCGTACTTCCAAGAATAAGTATTGCACTAGAGTGCAATGACCTCCTGACCTTCGAGAGGTTCAGGAATGAGTTAGTTGAGGTAGTTATACAGTGGTGTTTACAGAAAATCACAGCCAAGCAAAATAGTTTCAGATTTTGTTCTGCTCTTCACACGTTGCTAGCAGAGATGATTGTTGCTGGTCCTTAGGAGTTTATGGAAGCGAATAGTGTCCTTTTCTTCCCTGAGAGAAACAAGCAGTCCTATCTTGGAAAGAAGAGGATCTGCAGCAGTGAGAAGCTTCCATCCAGAAACCACTAAACTGAAGTCCCTTCAGGGAAAGCGAGTGTCTCACTTATGTAGAAACACCGCCCCCAGAACTTCACGTCTATCTCTGTTCCAGCTAGAGAAAGGCCAAAGAATTCCGTGCACTTGGTGTTAGTAAGGATGGAGTGTGGCTGTAGCACAGTGTTGAAGAACCAGAGCCCTGGAGTCACATCTAGGTTCGACTCTCCCCCACCACTTCCTGGGTCCCTGGCTCCCACAGCACTCTGTCTTTCCACTTGACTTTGTCTCTTATAGCTACTTGATGTTCTCTATTTCTGTTTGTTTATTCTTTCTTCTCAGCATGGAATCTCCCTGAGGTCAGGAATGCAGTCTGGCTTACTGCTGTGTATCTCCCTGGCACCTAGAATGACATCTGTCCCATAATTGGTTCTCAGTAATCAGTAATTACCGAATGAGTGAGTGAAGTGATTTAACCCTTGGGTGCCTTAGATTCCTCTTCCGTTAGGTAGAGGTGATGATGTTAGCATGCACCTCATAGGGCTGTGGCGGAGATTAAGTGAAACAGTAAGTAAAAGGAAGCTAGCACAGTGCCAAGCCCTGAGGGTAGGGTTCAAGGAAGGGGAGCTATCATTGACATCATCGTCATTTCTCTGTACAAGACATCTAGGTTGGCAGGTACTGATTTTTAGTTTTCTTTTTTGTTTTTGAAGCCCTCACTGGCTCTTGGGATGCTGTGCACCTCCAATAGGGAGGGGGGCATATTTTGGTGACACATTTCACTCCTAGAAACTTAAACAACAGATGTTGATAAACTTCTGTGTGCTAATGATGCACTGTAGAATGTGGATTCCTTCGCCTTTCTCTAAATCTACCTCAGAGCAGGGTGTGGTGCCCTGTCAGTCATACACCCAATTCCCAGGCTAGAATATCTCCGCATATGTTTGTGGGATCAGCGAGCCAACCCCAGCCAGCTGTCACCCTCCCTTGCCCAGGTGCTGTCCGAGCCCAGTACGCGCTGCTGGTTGCCATCACTTCTAGATAAGCCCTGAGAAGGGGCTTCACATGTTTATGCTATTCATCAGCAGCTAACACACTACTCAATAAATATTTGTTAAATAAACCAGTTAACTTGGGGAGAACATTTTCTGAGCCTCTTCATACCCAACTGTTGAGAAAGAGCTCTGGTGCCGGAGAAAACTATAAATCTTGTTAGTCTCATTGCTGTACTGCTTTTCTGGGTGGCACCTCCTTGTGTGGGGGAACCTTCCTCTCAAGATTAGAAACTTAAGTGGTGGTTCATTTCTTCTCACCTCTGCTCCAAAGGGACAATATGATTTGGTCAAATGCCTGGCTCCCATTCGAGACCCCAAGACCGAGCAGGATGGGCATGATATCGAAAACGAATGTCTGGGAATGGCTGTCCTGGCCATCTCCCACTACGCCATGATGAAGAAGATGCAGTTGCCAGAACTGCCCAAGGACATCAGGTAAATCTTCCTGCTGGCCAAAGAATTGATCGTGGGGATGGTGCTATTTTGATACGTCCTCACACGTCTCAGTGTAACCACTGCCAGTTTTTGGCTGACCGTTGCTCTCTGCAGAGCCCAAATCTTGTTTAGAACATTTATAAAAGGTAGCACAGTTATAATGATAATATAATGAATGTTGGCTGATGACCTCAGAAATTTGTACTTGGGTGAAAGTTCTGGGCTAGGGATGCCAATCGGATGGGTGGCCTATGTGCCCACCCCTTGCGCCTCTGCCCATGGTGGGCATTACCTTCTATCACTACACTTTTTCCTTTTGTGCAAGACTTGTCTTAAAATCCTTCTCAGTATTGTTCTACAGGCAGCTACTGCCATCCATAGCCTGAACTAGAGTTCACCAGAGAGCTGTGAATTTCATGCAGAGGATGTTACCTCAAGAAAATTGTATTTACTTAAAAATGGCATTCATGATCAAGTCTTTGTGAGGGAATATTCAATCTTTATAATTTCTACCCATCTATAAAATATCTGTGTATTTACCAAGGAGTTCTTATGAATGTCTCATTGTGAAGAGCAAGTTATTAGAGCTGTATTGTTTGTGGAAGGTGGCATGCACCTTCTCAGAAGGTTCCTCCCTGTATCTCTTGCCCTGGAGCAGAGTCTGCGGACTACTCCTCGGTGATGCAGGACTGGATACCTGCTCTGCTGCTGCTTTCTCGTTTTTCTGTGGCTTTTGCTCTGGGCACCTCCTCTTTCCTTTGTCATGAGACTAAGGTGAAAAATGACACCTCTTCTCTGACCTTCCTCTCCTTTACCCTAAAATGTTACAGTATTTGTGGGGGCTAAATTCCAAACTTTACAGTTTTCAAGCCCTCTCAGTTCTGGCAGTGATAGGCAGACTGGTCTCCCCACTTGTCTGGTCCCCCGTTTGTTCTTTCCTTCATGGGTGTTCATACTCTTCTTAAAACTGGCTCCTTCTAGCAGTGTATCAGTTTGTTGAGACTGTTAGTCATAGATACTCTCCCATTAGCACCAGCATAAGTAACTGATCTTTCAGCTTCCTTGTCAATCCATTTACTACATCTGGGACACTTTGATGTGGCAGACACAAAGTCTTTTGTATTTAATTAGATTTTGTGTTTTTTCCCATTTCTTACAAAAGCAACATGGGATCTTTATAGAGAAATTAGAAAACAGACCTAAAAGCAGAATATACAAAGCATCTGTAATCACTCTTGACACCTTTCAAACCACTTTCTAACTGATGCTGAATCTTAATAACAGTGTATGTGAGTACCAACATGCACAGGAACAGTGACACCAGCAAGCAAACACACAGATAAGTCAATTTTGCTGCCTGCCTTTGTGACCCAGAAAATTAGATGATACTTGCAGGAATTCTCATTTCAGTAAAACCTGTGGAACATGTGTTTTCCCTCTCTTCAGTTCCTATTCACTTCCATCTCCTTGTGATTATCATCTCCTAGTTTTTACTCCATCTAAGACCCCACTGGGAGTAGGTCTTCCTTTCCCATGGGGCAACACATGGAAGGGAGATTTATAGACTTGGGTTTCTTTCTGTACTATTCTCTGCCGACCTGGACATGAAAGAGAGACATATTTTTCTATTTTGTTTTAGCTACAAGCGATATATTCCAGAAACATTGAATAAGTCCATCAGACAGAGGAACCTTCTCACCAGGATGCGGATAAATAATGTTTTCAAGGATTTCCTGAAGGAATTTAACAATAAGACTATTTGTGACAGCAGTGTATCTACTCATGACCTAAAGGTGAAATACCTGGCCACCTTGGAAACTTTGACAAAACATTATGGCGCTGAAATATTTGAGACTTCCATGTTACTGATTTCATCAGAAAATGAGATGAATTGGTTTCATCCGAATGATAGTGGAAACATTCTCTACTATGAAGTGATGGTAACTGGAAATCTTGGAATCCAGTGGAGACAGAAACCAAATGTAAGTGGTGGCAGGTGGCTGATCAGAACAGACCATCATGCATCAGAACAGACCTGTTCTGTTTATCCTGTTGGGATTACCTGTTTGCATGTCCACCACCCCTACCCACTGAGTGTATTCAGGTTAGAGACCATGTATCATTTATCTTTTATTGTGTTCATGCAGCAGTAGATCTAAATAAGTATTTCCTTCTGTAGGGAAATAGAGAAACAGAACAATAGCCTATATAATATGTAATAATATAATAATAATAACAGACATTTACTGAGCACCTACCACGTACTAGGTACTTTTCTAAGCATTTTACATGTATTACTCATTCCTAAAAAAAAAAAAAAAAAAGGAAAAGAAAAAAAGCCCTGAGGGGAGTACTACCATTATCCCTATTTTATTGATGAATGCAAAGAGGCACAGAGAAGTTAAGAAACTTGGCCAAGGTCATAACTAACTAACAAGCAATTGTGCCAAGAATTGAACTTAGGCTTCTGGCTCCATGAAATAGGGTAATTGATTTTGCGATTTAAAGCCACTTTTTTGAAGTATTTGTTGGATGAAGCAATGGAGCAGAGTGGTTTCAAAGCATGGGTTTTAAACCTAACTGGACCTGGTTCAGATCCTGGCTCCACTATTTATAGTTCTCTAGCTTTGGGGGTTACTTTCCCTGTATCAGCTGCATATTATTCATCTGTAAAATGGAAATACTTACTGTATCTGCCTTGTGGAGTTGTTGTGAGAAAATGGCAGCAGAGAGCCCAGCATATAATAAATGTTCAAAAATTATTATAGCTGCTGTCATCATCATTAAGGTTATCAATAATATTAAAGTAATGGTGAGATTTATTTTCTCCTCTTTTATTCATGCTAAGGAAACAATGCCTAACACTTACTGAGTGCTTTTTTTCTGTAGAATAGGTACACTGTTAATGAGAACTTATCTAATCCTCAAAGAACCTTGTGAAATGTAAGCTCTGTTTTATGGGCAGGGAAATGGAGGCTCAGATGATGACCCAACTAGTTAATAACTAACAGATTCTTCAAGCATGGGATTCTTATTTCCTTTTGAAAGTTTCAACTTGATTTTCCTATCTATCTATCTATTTATTTATTTTGATGTAGTGTTCTATGATTCATTGTTTGCATATAACACCCAGTGCTCCATTCAGTACGTGCCCTCTTTAATACCCATCACCAGGCTAACCCATCCCCCCACCCCCTCCCCTCTAGAACCCTCAGTTTGTTTCTCAGAGTCCATAGTCTCTCATGGTTCGTCTCCCCTTCCGATTTCCTCCTGGAAAAAAAAAAAAAGAGGGTTCATTGAAGATTTTAAAAGTTAGTATATGTAAAACAGTCAAATCAGTGCCTGGCAGATAATACTCTGTGTTAGCATCTCTAGCAATGGCACGGCTCTATATTTCTTTGCTCACAGTCCTATAGCCACACTGAGAACACTGCCCTGTACATAATACACTCTTGATTAATTTGTTTTTTTGAAACTTAATTGGATACTTGACCTTTATTAAAGTTACCAGTACTTAACATTGGGGAAAAAAAAATAAGTTTCAACTTGAATGTCGTTAGGAAGTCAAGCTAATCAGTTGTAAGTTCTAGAAAGAGAAAGCTCGTGTTCTGTCCAGCCACATTTGGGAAGGCATGTTCTCTGCCTGGGTTGAAACATATATCAGTCTGGAAGTGAGAGGACCTGAGGGTAGGTGCCTGTCTAGTGGGCAGTTATCTCCCTCTCTGAGTTTACTTGTACATTATAGATTATGTGAAGCATTTAGTTGCTGGGCTTGGTAAGGTCCCTCCTAGGTATGAAATCCCAGGATTCCCTGATGGCCCCCAAACTGCGATCCTAAGCCCACATGTGCCCCCTCCCCCAATTCCTCTGTAAATCCAGGCAGGCTGGCTGTCTTCTTCTCGAATGTAGGCCCTGCTTTAGTTTTCCAGAAGCATTTACCTTTTTCACCAATAGAAAATGAGAAAGCCAACTTAACTCTGGCACCCTTATGCATCTTATCAGGTTGTTCCTGTTGAAAAGGAAAAAAACAAACTGAAACGGAAAAAACTGGAAAATAAACACAAGAAGGATGAGGAGAAAAACAAAATCCGGGAAGAGTGGAACAATTTTTCTTACTTCCCTGAAATCACCCACATTGTAATAAAGGAGTCTGTGGTCAGCATCAATAAGCAGGATAACAGAAAAATGGTGAGTTTGCTCTGGAAGCAATTCTGTCTGGATCCGGTGACGAGAGGGAGACTTCGTGGAGGACAGTGATGTGGCACTTGCTTTGCAGAGTTCCTGTCCCAAAGAGAAAATTTGATGACTGTCTCTCTTTCCTCCTTAAGCCAGAAATCCCTCTTGCTGACGCTGACATTATCAGTGCTGGTTTTTGAGTCACACTGGGATGTTTCAGTGCCTCTCTTTGGTCTTGCCAATGTGTCTCTACTTCAGGGTTTGCTGCCCTCCCAAAGACATTTCAGCATAAATACTTAATTCACAAAAGGGAGTGGATTTGAAGGAAAGGGAGATCGGTGAGTGTTAGCTTTTTCCCCCAAGGTCTCCTTCGGTCTCTCTGCCAAGTTGAGTGTTTCCTCTGGGATGAGGTCAGTGGGAAGCCCTGCTTTGCACTTCGGCAGACTGGTCAGGCTGGTGGCTGTGGCCACAGTGGCTGTCCTCGTTGTGGTGTCGGGCACACCTAAGTGACTCTCGGACAGAGGAAGGGGTGTTGAATCTCACTTCCTCTTTTTTGGTCTCACTTAAGGACATAATCTAGACAGGCCCGCAAGTTTTGGCAGGGGATGTAGCAACGCTGCCAGAATAAACATGTTTGTGTTGGGGAAGTCATGGCTGACGGCACGTGGAGAGGGTGGGCGGCTGAGGCGGGGCACTCACAGACTGAAGGTAGTCAGCACCGGGGAACGACCGTGTTTTGCCCCGGATTTGGCAAAGACTGTGTCAAAGGGATAACACTCAGTGGTGGGAACGAATCTGGTGATCTGGTTTAGAACAGATGACCACGCTGTTCATCTAGAGTAACTTGCCTTTTTATACCTTGTAGAAAGCAGTTTGGCAGCATGTACTAAAAGCCTTGAAAATATTTATGTATCCCTCCATTTGGGAACTTAGGGCTGTTTTCCAGAAACAATGAGAGATGAAGCCAGTGGCCTGTGAATGAGTATGTTTGTCCCAGTGGAATTTACAGTGTAAAAATACTGAAAATTACCTAAGTATACAATAATAGGAGAATGGTAGAATATCCGAGTAATAGAATATTATATAAACAATTTGCTAAATTTTTTTAATAATCTGGAAAAATGCTTAATATATGGAAAAAAGCAGAATAGAAAACTCTATTGAACAGTACCAATTTTGTTTAGAACGTTTTTAAAAGGTACGCATATACATATACACTCTCTTAGAAAAATCAAATATTAACAGCTGTTCTTTATGGTGGGATTATTAATGATTTAAATTTCTTTTATTCTCCTAACCTTTTAACAATAAACATAAGTTAATTTCGTCAGGAAACTGTAGTGAAAAATAAAGTGAAGAGAGAAGTAGAAGAGTCCAGATAGATGTTAGTGGGAAGATGGAGAACAGAGGGAGGGATATTCAGCATATTACAGAGATAAGGCCGGATTATATGCTATGTCCGCAGGATCTTCTTTAGTCCTTACAAGAATCTTAGAGGCAGGCATTTTGGCTCTATTTCCAGTGGGGAAATGGGAGGCCGTGGACAGGTGTAGACACTCGTACAGGATGACAGAGTGAGAAAGTGGCAGCTCCAGCTCCAGGGCGTTCTCTTCCCCAGAGACTGCAGTGAGGAGGAGCTTGGCACCTCCGTGATCTGGCTCTTCACCATGGTCAGACCCCGAAGACGCGTAGCCAAGGAGGAAAAGCAGCAGTCAGCTGGTACAGTGTGTGTGAGCTGCCCCTATGCTGTCCTGGCTGGTGGAGCCCGGCTTGGCACCCGGGTGGCGGCGCCCCTGTCACCTCAGTCAGAGCCCAGCTGCAGTGCAGTGTAGGGAGCAGGAGGAAGGTGGGGAGAAATAGCTCCGTGATCTCCCTGTGACTTCATTTTTCTTGACAAACACTGGCTCCTACTACATGCCAGGTACATCCCATTCCAAATGCTTTACAAATGTAAACTCTTTCCATTTTCATTGGCCTTAGAGGTAGGTGTATTCTTATCTTCATTTTACAGAGGAGGAAACTGAGGCACAAAAAGCTTAGGTAACTTGCCCAGGGTCACGCAGTTCTTAGGTTAAACCATTTGAAATGGCCAATATTTGACACTTTGTGACCTGTAAAAATGATGGTTACCTCTGCTTAACCGTAATAGCAAGTGGAGATCCTGTGATTTGAGCCCACAGAAACGGATTCCAGAACCTGTGGTTAACACTGTGATGCTGTCTCTTTATCTCAGTCCCCTGTCCCTTCTCGGCCATGGAATTTCCAAGCCCTTTGATCAGGCAGTACTTTGGCCACGGGTCTTTCAGGAAGGCATGATGGTAGCATGTTATCAAATTAAATCTTGATTTATTTTTCCTCTCTGCCTCTTCTTGACATCTTCCATTTCCATTTAGACTTCTGTTCTAGGGAACTTAAGTGTTTACATGGTCTTACTTTTTTTATGTGACTGGGTGAAGGGCTGCCGAGGCCAGACTACCTTGCGTTTGCGCTTTGGGGAGCTGCAAGTGGATGAAAGGAGGCACACTTAGCCCAGAGTGTCCTGACTGAATAACTGTCCCTGTGGTGGCCTTGGCCTCCTTGGCTCACAAGTCCACAGTGGAGCCTTCCTTTGGCAAGATAGCTAGCTGTCATTAGCTCCACTTACTTCCATCCTTTCTAGTGGCTTCTATCCACCCCTTTCCCTTTGACTGTTTTTCTCGTCTCTGTTTTTCTTCGCCACCAGTCTGTCCTTTCTCCAGTGCTATGAACAGAGTCTTAGTCTCACATGTCATTTTGCCCTCAGAAGGCTCCGGTGCTTTTTAATGTTCTTGTGAGTTAAAGCTCTAAATGGCTTTCCATACCCTCCTTCTCCAGGAGATGTTCCTGGTTGAGCCCATGGCTTCTCTCACATGGGCAGTTTTTGTTTAGGGCTATATGACCAAGACCAAAAAAACCCCCCCAAAACAAAAACAAACAAAAAAAACCACCTGTCTTTACCTCCAGGTGTTTTTTTGAAAACCTTCCTTCTGTGGAAGTTCCCTCTCTCATCTTCTCCATTTTTGCCTTTGCTCTCCCTCTTTGAGTAAGACTGTCTGCCTCCTCCAGACCCTCTGAGGTCTCTGGACTTAATCTAGCAATCTCATCATTGTCTGGGACCATTTCTGGATTAAAATCTGGGCGTTTCACTTTCTAGACCAACTCTATATGAGAGGAAGCCCCTGTGCCTCTGTTTCCTTTTCTGTAAAATGGGAGCGAGCGATGCTACCGAGTCAGTCATTGCTCTGTGCCAAGACCAGGGTGCCATTGCACACGCTCTGCTCCTACTCCCTCCACTTTTCTTTCTTTCTTTTTTTTTTTATTTCACTTTTATACCACCGTGCTCCTGATGCAGGCTTGCTCCTCCCTCTGGACCCGGGCAGTAGCCTCTCCATAGGTCTCCTGCCTGCCACAGCTGCCCGTTCTGCCCTTCCTCCCACACAGACACGCCATACCTCATCTGATAGTTTGGAGATAATAGACAAGAACGTATGAGGAACAGTCAAAATCCTGTATAAATGTAAGGGGTGCAGTTAGTTTTGAGCTCATGCGTTCTGCATTGTGTTTTAAATACCTTCTCGCTGTGTGCCTCCTCATAAAGTCAGCTGCCCGAGGTGGTAGGCACGTGATGTAACCATGGGCATGTCTTCTCTCTCACCAGGAATTGAAGCTCTCGTCCCACGAAGAGGCCTTATCCTTTGTGTCGCTGGTCGACGGCTACTTCCGGCTCACGGCAGATGCCCATCATTACCTCTGCACCGATGTGGCTCCCCCACTGATCGTCCACAACATACAGAATGGTTGTCACGGTCCAATCTGGTTGGTTCTGGCACTTTTTCAGTTGCCCTTGGTGTGAAAAGAACCACATTTTAGTGGTGGGGCGTGTGGCCTCCTGAGACACAGTTGTCATCGGTTGTTTAGGTGGGGGCTGGTTGAGTATGTTTGGGACTTACTTGGTGCCTTCTTTTCCATCCCTGCTGTCCCCTGGTCAGGCCTTCCTGTCATCTCTTACCTTGGTTCACACCACAGACCCTTCCTTCTTCCCCCTTGGGTTTCCTCATAGTTTTGTTTTTTTTTTTTTAAATATTTTATTTATTTATTTGACAGAGAGAGAGACAGCTAGAGAGGGAACACAAGCAGGGGGAGTGGGAGAGGGAGAAGCAGGCTTCC